CATTGATGCGGGCAAATTTGAGGTCCTGAACGATTATGTTTTTCCACCCGCCGGTCCTCTTGGCCTTGCGGACGTTGCCTAGCGGGGCTGGGTAGGTGGCCCCCACTGCCTGGTCCGCGGCCTGCTTGGACTCGAACTCCTCCCCGAAACCCTTCTCCGCGTTTCGGCCTCGCCGTGGCCACCCATAAACGAAGGGTGATTGCCCTTGCAATGATAAGCCCGGTCGAACACCTCCCCATCCCGGCGCGCGCCGGCGACGGCGAGCGGGAAGTAGCCACCGGGGACAATGGCCCGCGACACCCCCATCGGCGCGCCATGTTCAAGCCACGTTGGCAGCAAAGCATCCGAGACGCCCGAAAGACGGACAACTGCCGAGACTACCTGATGCCGGAGAGGCGACGCCAGATGGTGGCGTTCCGCGGACGCCGCGTCCAATTCCAGAGCGGCGGCCACCTCGCGACGCGCCACTGCCACTGCCTCGGCTGGCACACGGTGGCGGCCGCGCCGGCGACGACCCGCAGGCCCGGGCCAGGCCGGCCAGCTCTGGCTGCAGCGCCCTCGCTCTGACGAGGGCCAGGCGGACCCTTGCCATCGCTGATCGAAGCGGAGGCCCCACGTGATTAGCGGGATTGCGCAGGGTAGCGGTGCACCTGAGGCCTTCCGCAGCGCGTTGCTCCCGCGGCGTCGGGCCCTGAGGCCCGCGCCCGCTCTGCACCTGCACTTTCCTCGGCTCGTGCGAATCCTGTCCTGGCTGACCTGCTGGCTGAAGGAGGGGTGCTGACGGCGCCTCCTCGACGCTGGGCAGAACTCGCTGCGCTGCCACCCCATCCGCGCACTCGGCTGCGAGAGCGGCAGGGTAGCCCCAAAACCCGATCGGCAGGCGGGGGCACGCTTGCGAATGCCCGAAAGAGAAAACTCTCGCAGACGTGTCCGACGTGCACCACTTGCCCATGCTCGCCGGGGCGATGGGGAAGCAGCGGAGCCTGGCGGATTTCCGGCATGGTGCTCCGCAAATGCAGGCGCCGAACACGCAGTCGACGTAATGGCCTGCGCGCATGTTTTTTGTATGGCTCCAAATTCTACAGGTACGATGTGCTCGGATTCCCGTCCATGGTCCAGGCGCCGATGTCTGCGGATGCCCACTCCACGAGCTCCGCGACGTGCGTTGCGACAGCGTTCGCCTCTTCCACCTCGGCGGATGCGGGGGGGGTGGGCCCCCAAGGCAGCGCGCTCGACCGTACCTTGGTCCTCTTGGACCTGTCGCGGGCCCGGGACAAGGCACGGCGCGGCAGCGCGGCAGCAAGCACCATCTGGAACTCCGGGGGCGCGCGCGGCGCCAGCAGGTGCTTGACGCTGTCGGCCGCGACGTGGCATGTGAAGTCCAAGTCCCCAGGCGATAACGCGATGGCTGTGCCCCCCGCGAACCTCCGAAGTTTCCGGGACAGCGACTCTGTCCCTGGGAACAAATTGAGGAACACCTGCCTTCGGGAGCCAGCCAGCCGCGCGCCGGGGTCGAGGCCCGCCGGGGGCGCTGTCCCGCCCTCGACGGCGGCGCTAGCCAGTGACCTTGCGGGTCCGGCAGGAGGCGCCGGTAGGTCACTGGGAGTTGGCTGCCGCGGGCACCCCGAGGCGTGGCCCCCAGCGCCTGGACGGGAACCAGGGTCAGTGCTGACCTCGTGGTCCTCGGCGGCTTGCGCGGCTGGTGACCTCGCTGAGCCCGAAGAGGGCGCTCGCGGGTCACCGACGGCGGCGGCGGTCGGTGACCTTGTGGGGCCCGCCGGCGGCACCAGCAGGTCACCGATGGCGGCGACGGCTGGGGGCCCTGCGGCGCCGCGACATGAAGCGGCGGAAGCGGAATCCAGGCGAGATCGCAGGGCGCGCAGGGCGTGCAAGTGGACAGCCACGCGGCGATGAAGACGGTGTTTCTTTGCAGTCGGACCCTCCTCGCAACTGATCTCGTCTCTCGGGCGCTTCGGCCCTGAACGTGCCATCGGAGCCTCTGCTTTGCCACCCTGCCACCAACTCCCGGGAGTGGTGTCGCCCTCCCAAGCCATTCCGGGCGCCGATGTCGAGGATGGGCTGGCATCACCCGAAACTCGCGGATCCATGGTCCAGGTGGACGCTGGGTCGGAAGGTCTGCCGCTGCGCTGCGGATCGGGACCAGGGCGAATGCCGGGGCCAAAACTGGCGGCCTCATAGCTCGCCGAACTCGACGCGCAAGCCGCTGAACGTGTAGGGGCTGTACTGGTGGTGCCGAAGGGTCCTCCTCCTCCTCCTCCTCATCCTCCTCCTCCTCCTCCTCCTCCTCCTCCTCCTCCTCCTCCTCCCCCTCCTCCTCCTCCTCCTCCTCCGGCGGCAGCCCACCTCCTGGGCCTAGTCACCGGCCGGCGCCTTTGGCCGCGGGCGGCCGCCAGCCCTGCGGGCGCCGGGCAGCCCGGCAGGAATCGTCGATCGCCCGGTGAAGGCCTCGGCACCATTCGCAGAGGTGCCTGCGCCTCGGGTGAGCCGAGCACGGCTCGGCGCGGCCGCCCTCCTCGCGGTTCCAAGCGTAGCACAAAGCGACGCCCTGGCCGTTATCGACGTACCTGCCGTCCGCGCGCTGCCCAGTCTTCTCACAGGTCTTGACTATCTCCTTATACTTATCGGCCTTGCGAGCGCTCTTGCTTGACGGCTCCAGCTTGGCGCGGGCCCAAGGCGGCTGTTTGCCGTCGGCGGCGCACCTGGCCCCGCGCCCATGCCCCGCTGCGCCGCGCCCAGCAGCGGCGCTGCCGGCAAGTCCTGTGGGGCCCCCTCGACAAGCCGCCACGGTGGCGGCCACTCCTGCCGGAGAGATGGAAGTCAGGCACGGGAGCTCCAAGTGCGACCTCCACCACTGTGCGTCAGAACCCTCACTGTAGGCAGAGGCCATCAAGACGGCCTGCCAAGGTCGGTTGGGGTCCTAGCCCTCTGGAGGCGTGCCGTTCTGGACCGCTCGTTCCATCTTCGCCCGTAGCTGATCCCACCGCTCCTCCATGTTGTGGGACGCCACGGTGTAGACAGCCCCCCAATCCTTCGGGAACAGCGTTGCAAGCTGCCGGACCCCTTCCATGTAGCTGTCCACCGGGCCCGCCTTCGTGAAGTCGAGTTTGAAGGCGGCGATCCAGAACACCTGCCACGACTTGCGGAAACCCTCGAAGTTCGGGGGGCCAAGGAACTTCCGCTTGATGTACTCCCCGTTGACGAAGACGTCAGAGTGGAATTAAAGGAGTTTCTGGATGCGCTTGCCGAAGGGCCCCCAGACGGCGAAATCCGCCCAAGGGGCCTCGTCCAAGGCAAGCTTCGCCGCCAGGGCGGAAAGCTGGAGGGCACTGCAATCCTCATAATCTCTGGGTGTTCACCACTTTTCATCGTAGGCCTCGCACATCGCCCGAACCTTCTCGGATGGGAGCTCCTGGAACGTGGTCCGGAAGCCTTGCTCGATGACAGTGGAGAACTCGTGCATGGTGGGCGTGACAACCACCTGCTGCGGCGCCTGCTGCTGGGCTGTCAGAGGCGCCAGCGGCGCTTCACTGCTGGGGCAGAACCTCCCCAAGCCTGCGGAGTCCGCCCGGCAAGCTCCGCAAGGCGTTGCAGGCCCCTGCTCACGTGGCCGCGCTGCAAGGAGGAAAGAGGTCGGATCTCGCCGTCGTCGGCGACAGCGCTGCAGGTGCGCATCGCCGCAACGAAGTCCTCGTCGAACATATCGAAGACCTCCCCCAACGTAACCTCCTCCCAGACGCCCCCGATATCTTGGACGAAGCCTCTGAACATCGACTCGTCCATGCCGACGCTCCTAACAGCAGTGGCGAGGTCGAGGCTTGGAGCCAGGGGCGACGAGGATCCCCCAAGGGACGACAGGAGGATCCCTGCCGCGTTTCCCCCTGGGCCACCGTCCCCGCGACTCCAAGTGTTTCCCCGCTTCCTCACCGGCTGCGCGGGCGGCCGCCGCCAGCGCCTCGGCGGCCTCCATCGCTGGGGGTACCAGCGCCATGCCCACCCTCGATTTGTGATGCTGCAGGGCCTGTGTTTCCCTCCAGCCAAATGGCGACGGAGGGCAAGGCTGCAGCACCGTTCTGCCTCCCACCGTTCCCCCACGCCCATGTTCAACACTACCTACGGTACATTGCCGTCTCAAGATGGCTCCCGAACAGCCTACTACGCCTCCAATACGCCCCAAGAAGCCGTTAAGAGCACTCCCACGATGGCCACAAGAGGCAAAATCGACTTGATTCCCATCGGTTTTGGAAAGAGTTTCTCGTTTCTCCCGTTTCGGCTTCGCGACACTCCACTACGGCCCATTAGGCCCCAAAGGTTGCCCCAAAACTGACCACGACACCATCAGGGGGCGCCGAGACCACCCAGAGAGCCCCGGGGCGCGGGCACACATCGGCAGTTCGACTTTACCGCCCCAAGGGACTCCTGGGAGGCCGCAAGAAACTTCCAAAAGACTCCTACTAAAGTCTAAGAGGCCTACCCCCCAGAAAAAAAAACATAAACAGGAAGCCCCAAGACGCCCCCGAGAGGCTCCTGCGAGGCCCGAAGGGCTCTCAGAATGCCGCTGGTCAATGATCTTCACCATGCCGCTCAGTGATGCTGGCGTCCTTGCGCTTTCCGGCTCCAGACGGCCTCACAGAGTCCAGAGAGCCTCCACAATGACGCCCAGTCGGCCCGGGGGGCCACAGGGGTGCCCCCATGCAGCACCCCTGGGCCTCGTCCCCAAAGATGCAATGTATGCGTACGAACATACACACGCACGAACGCAAATACGCGCAAGAACGCACATGGATTATCCATTTCGCTCGCAACCGCAAAACCTAACTGTATCCCTCACGGAAGCTGTGCGACCGCGCTCCTGGAACTCCCTATTGGAACGCTGGCCCACCAAACCCAAGATGACTCGGACAGCGCAGAAGAAAGCATTGCATGCGTGTCATCAGCAGCACTTTCCCTTTTCTGTAAGCCCCCCTCGCCTTCGTTGTACTTCACTGGGTCGAGCTGCCAGCGAACTCTTTGGCTGCTTCCCCGTCTGCGCCCCGCCAGTCCCGTACTGTAACTCTGCAGCGGGTGGCACGTGCTGCCACGTGCCCAATCCAAGGACTGCTGAACGAACTCGGGGTGGGATCCGAGCTCCATGATGATGCTACGATTGCAGCACATGGCTGGAAAGACAGTGGAAGTAGCTCTAGCGGCGGGCACTCCAAGCAAGCCCAAAAGAACAGCATTCACAAACCAACTACAAGCGCTTTAATCGTCTAGGTTCAGACAGCAATCAGTGAAGTTGAAGACGAGAACCATGATTGCGATTCACCCCGTGGCTATGGTGGCTATGCCAAGCTGGCTTGCACCCGTCGAGTGCCTGAAAGCGGCCGCCAGTGCACACCACAAACGATGCAGGCAGCGAAATGAAATCGATGTCCTGGAATACGGCCCAATGCGTACACTTTCCGTCGTGCCTCCCTTCACAGCCCCTCGAATCCCACCAGCTGTTTGGGCTGAGGTGGTCTAGAGCGCCTGCTCTTCCGAGCCCTTCCTGCTCCATGAAAAGCGCACTCAACAGCAAAATATGGATCTTGTTCGGACGCCTCGCGAATCACTTCGCACAGTTCCCAATCATCCTGTGGTGCTGGGTCCTCGTTTGGAACAGACAGCGCACGGCGTTCTTCACTCACTCCTCCTTCCTTCTCCCTCTCCTCCCTCCTGTCATCCCTGCCTCCGCCTTCCGCATGCCAACCACTACGGCACACCCGTCGCACGATTCATAGTCCAAGAGAGAGCTCCAGCGAAGGCCCCAGTAGCAGGGTTCGCACGCGGCTGCCCCCCCCCAACCGAATGCCCATTTTTGGAACACCCCTCACATGCTTCGTGGCCCCATAGAGAGGTCACCCAAGCCCTCACTGGCAGGGTGCGCATGCGGTTCCGCGCCCACGACACGTCCACTTCGGCACACCCCTCACACGCGTCGTGGCCCCATGAGGAGATCCAAGGAAGGCACCAATTGGAGGATTCGCATGCGGCTCTCCGACCACCGAATGTTCATTTTTGGCACACACACACACACACACACACCTCATTCGTTACATCGGTGGCGCGCACAAGGGTGCACACGGGCAAGAAGGGGTTTTTAGAAGAAGGCTGCCTCTTGAAAGGCGCCGGCCGCCGCTCTAAAGAAGCCAAGGGCGCGCCGCTTTTCAGAAGCACCCCAACTGATGCTTACAACCACAGAACAACTGATACGAATCAACAACAACAACAACAACAACAACAACAACAACAACAACAACAACAACAACAACAACAACAACAACAACAACAACAACAATCATTTTACCCGAACGCGTGGTGTTCTCCCCAGTGCCAGGGTTTTCATACGACACCAGGCAATACCCCCACTTCGTGGGGGGGCATTACAAGCTCTACCAAATATCCAAACGACTCTTCGCGACCACCCAAACCCAGCTTCCCGCCCTATGACGTTGGGACACTTCACTTCGTGGCGTGCGGACGACCGTGGCTACTACACTGGCGGGCAAGGGTTTTTGGAGATTTCGGCGTGCGCGCGCGAAGAAAAAACGAATGTGTCCCGCATGGTATTATTTGACAGGGATGATGGCCCTGGCAGGTGCGCAACCGTTGTCGCAGAAGTTCGAAAAAGTTGCTCGCAAAAGCCCGTTTGACAGAAATGTTTAAAAAGTGTTGGGTTTCCTACGAATCCGCAAGAGCGCGCGGGATGAGATTTTGACATTTTTTTGTTGAAAAACCATTGGTTTTTTGATGTTTTTATGTTAAAATCGCTCCGAACACTAAGCTTTTGGAAGGATTTCGTCTTGCGCGCGCGAATGTCCACTTTACCTTATTTTTTGCAGGGATTCTTGAAATTTGATTATATTAGAACAAGAAATGTCATTTTATAGTGTTTTTTGCAAGGGAAAGCGGGGGGGAACAAAACAACCGGATCTTGATCACATCGAATTACCTGAGGCTTCCTCACGAAAATGATGAAAATGTAGCTGCGGCCTAGGCGGCGCAGGGGGGGCGTGCACCAGGGGTCCCAACAATAATTATTCTTTAGAATTAATAATGTTCAACAACAACAACAACAACAACAACAACAACAACAACAACCACAACAACAACAACAACAACAACAAGAACAACAACAACAACAACAGCAACAACAACAACAACAACAACAGCAGCAGCAGCAGCAACAGCAACCACAACAACAGCAGCAATAACAACAACAGCAGCAACAACAACAACAACAACAACAACAACAACAACAACAACATCAACATCAACAACAACAACAACAACAACCACAACAACAACAACAACAACAACAACAACAACAACAACAACAACAAAGAAACAACAACAACAACAACAACAACAACAACAACAACAAACACCACCACCACCACAATCACCACCGCCACCACAACAACAAGAAGACTGTTCGCTCTTATCTGCTCGAGTGCCCGTTAACGCGTATTTCCCAAACCCTCGATACCCGCCCTCTTCGTCTTCGATCACGCCCATCTTGGGAGGTATACTCTTCCCTGCAGGCTGGGCCCCGGCAAGCGGCGGGGCGGCCGCGGACCGTCGGCCTGACCAGCGGTACCGCTGTTCGGCGGCAACCCGACCCCAAGAGGGACGGACGACGACGACGACGTCGACGACGACGGCGACGACGACGACCGAGAGCGAGAGAGAGAACGACAGCAGGGCCACGAAGGGCACGAAGTAGGCCACGAAGGGCGACAGCGGGAACACGAAGGGAACGCGTACGGGGCCACGAAGAGCGCGAACGAGCGGGGGCCGCGAAGGGCAGATAATGCGGGGCCACAAAAGGCAACGACGGGGCAACTGAAGATAGCAACTGGGCCACGTAGGACAGCGAGGAGGCCACAAAGGGCGACAGCGGGGCCACGAAGGGCATGCACATGGGGCCACGACGGGCGCGAACGAGCGGGGGCCACGAAGGGCATACATATATCGGGCCGCGGAGGGCAAGGACAGGGCCACAGAGGGCAGCAACGGGGCCACGAAGGGCAGCGAGGAGGCCACGAAGGGCGACAGCGGGGCCACGAAGGGCATGCATATGGGGCCACGACGGGCGCGAACGAGCGGGGGCCACGAAGGGCGGCATACACATATGGGGCCACGAAACAAAGCGAGGGGGCCACAAAAGGCTGCAACGGGAAAACGAAGGGCAGCGAGGGGGCCACGAAGGGCTGCAACGGGGCCACGACGGGCAGCGAGGGGGCCACGAGGGGCTGCAACGGGGCCACGAAGGGCAGCGAGGGGGCCAAGAAGGGCTGCAACGGGGCCACGAAGGGCCGCGAGGGGGCCACGAAGGGCTGCAACGGGGCCACGACGGGCGAGGGGGCCACGAGGGGCTACGACGGGGCCACGAAGGGCAGCGAGGAGGCCACGAAGGGCTGCAACGGGGCCACGAAGGGCAGCGAGGGGGCCACGAGGGGCTGAGAGGGGCCACGAAGGGCAGCGAGGGGGCCACGAAGGGCTGCAACGGGGCCACGAAAGGCAGCGAGGGGGCTAGGAAGGGCTGTAACGGGGCCACGAAGGGCAGCGAGGGAGCCCCGAAGGGCTGCAACGGGGCCATGAAGGGCAGCGAAGAGGCCACGAAGGGCTGCAACGCGGCAACGACGAGCAGCGAGGGGGCAACGAAGGGCTGCAACGGGGCCACGACGGGCAGCGAGGGGGCCACGAAGGGCTGCAACGGGTCCACGAAAGGCAGCGAGGGGACCACGAAGGGCTGCAACAGGGCCACGAAGGGCAGCGAGATCCCGATTCCTAAATAATCTGTGAGGGCGTTCTAAGCGTGAGCGCGACTCCTGGGTGCCCGAGTGACGGAGCGCGGCGCTTGAGTAAATTGCGGGAAATTCCAACGCAAGGGCGCTAGTCTTGAGTAAATCCCACCAGCCCTCTGGGCGTAGGTGGTTTTGGGAATTTCCTCTTCCACCCCTCCTTCATCCCCTACGGGGAGGGGTTTACCCCTCCCCCTAACCCCCTCCCCTGGACTTGGACAAGGGGGGCCGCTGGTAGTTAGAGCGTCCAAAACGGCCTCGGCAAGGAAGCCAAAATCATTGGTTTTACTTGGGTTTTGGCCGATTTTAGAGGCTCCCGAGGAGGAAGGCTAATTGGGGGACCCCCTTCCTTTGATCGATCACCTCCAAGATGGCCCCAAGAGCGCTCCCAAGGCTCCCAAGAGCGCCCCAAGATGGCCCCAAGAGGCGCCCAGGAGGCCCCAAGAGGCGCCAAGATGGCCCCAAGATGGCCCCAAGATGGCCCCAAGAGGTCCCCAAGAGGCCCCCCGAGGCACCCAAGACGCCCCGAGAGGCCTCCGGGACCGCCAAGACGCTCCCAAGACGCCCTAAGAGGCCTTCAGGACGCTCCCAAGAGACATCCGAAGAGACTCCGAGAGGCATCCAAGAGGCCTCTGGCCATTCTGCTCGCCCTTCTCCTCATCCTCCTCCTCATTCTCGTCCTGCTCCTCCTCCTCCTCCTCCTCCTCCTCCTCATCCGCCTATTGCTCCTCCTCCCTCCTCCCTCCTCCCGCTCCCCCTCCTCCTCCTTCAGTTCCTCCTCCTCCTCATCCTCCTCCGATTCCTCCTCCATCCTCGCCGTCTTGGGTAAGACGGGTTCCCCAGCCCTTTGTTACTCTGTATGCTCCCTCACTTCCCTGATCACCTCCATTCGCCTGGGCATCGTTACTGGATGGGCTGGTGGGGATACGCGAAGCGTCAAGAATTGCAAGCAAGTCTCCAGCGAGGGCGCGATTCCAGAGCACCGAGAGAGCAATTCCTGAGTAGATTGCAAGGAAGTCCCAAGCGAGAGCGCGATTCCTGAATAAGATGCCAGGAAGTCTCGGGCGGGAGCGGGGGTCCAAGCGAAATTGCGAGGAAGTCTCAGGCGGGAGCCGCTGTTGCTATAACCAGGGGGTCAACAACACAGTTCGAGGACGAAAACTTCCA